GGGGGGCCAGACTCGGCCTGCAAAAAGTCCAATCCGGCCCACTGGAAGGATTTAGAAAATGTGACAGGCACCGATTTGAAACCTTTTAGCTGTGTTATCATAAATTTTACAGTTTCTCCTGACAAAGATTCAAGATTCAAAGTGTTTATTGTCATGTGTCGCAAGAGCAAAGGCATTTCTCTGTGAAATGAAATTCTTTCTTTGCTGTTCACCCACAGATGCCGATTAATATATACACAATAGAAATAGAACATATAAATACAAATAATAGAAATAAATGAAGACAGAAAAGGAGACAAAATATGGAGATTTCAAACAGAGATGTATGCAGAAGAGCTATAGCTTAATATGTAAGATGACCTGATGTGCAAAAAAAAAAAAATCATTATTACTGTTCAAAATGGGTCAGCTGTTCAAGAGTCTGGTAGTGGGGAAGAAGGAGTTGTTGAGTCTGCATGTTCTGGATTTCACACTTCTGAACCTTCGTCTCGAGGGCAGAAGTGTGAACAGTCCGCATTGGGGGTGTGGGGCCTTTGAGGATGGAAGCAGCTCTCCTCTGGACTCTGCAATGGTAGATGCTCTGCAGAGAGGGCAGCGGAGTCCTGTTATCACTCTCTGCAGGTGTTTGCGGTCCATAGCAGTAGTGCTGCCGTACCATGCAGTCATGCAGCTGGTCGGTGTGCTCTCCACAATGCAGCTGTAGAACCTGCTGAGGATCTTGGCCGACATACCAAATTTCCTCAGCCTCCTCAGGAAATACAGCCACTGCTGAGCCTTCTTGACCAGCTGACAAAGACCTCCCCTGCAGTCATTCACTAAAGTCATGAAGTAATAGATGAACAGTAAAATGGCATAAAAATTCCTGTTTTTTTCACTACAATAGAATTTTTTTTATTACAAATTGTTCACAGTAAAATACACAATTAAAGTTGGATATTTTCTGTGAAATCACAAAAAGATCTTCATGTAGAGAAAACTGAGATGCGCTGTTCCAACTTTTACTTTGTTTTCTTACACTGAGTTTAAACTACTTAACACTGACTTTACGTTGGTCCGTGTGGGACGTATGTGGCCCGCGACTTTGACGTCCCTCCTCTAAACTACTGCTAAACTGCCTTTCTTCAAGGTGTCTCTTACTTTGTCCATACTTATCTGCGCAAACAGAGTGAAATGACAAATAAAATGCCACACATGATACCATCCCCTGATCGTCTACAGACTTGCCCTGCCTGTAGTTTTGACTCCATCTGAATAATGCATGTGAATCAAAGAAGAAAAACCAACAATAACCTTGTGGATGGAAGCACTTGGTCCCCTGGCTTTTCATTTAAGATAAAGATTCCCTGACGCGCATCTTTGAGGCAGATCTACCACGACACTGGCATGGGAAATCGCAGACATAACTAACGGTGATTAACGTTAGTTATCACAAATGGAGACTCGTAGGTGTTTCAACTTGCTGATAAAAGAAGATAACTGTTTTTGAAACTAAATTATCTGAGTTACTGGGACTTTCTTTTTTTTCCTATGTCTTCTTCACACGGTTGCCTCCTTTGTCATTTCCCAAGTCATGGATCTTATCTGAACGCTATTTTGCTGTGCGGGTAGAAAAGCTATACGCACACCTGCACGGCGGCCATGCTTGCGTAAAAGCTAAGTGCAGACATATTGTGCAAAGGCTCTGACTTGTATACAGGCTTTGTCTTGTAAACCGAATAAATAAAGCATCCAGATAATGATTTGTGCAGATGAGGCTTTGAGAAGCGAGTCTGCTATTTGCAGAAAGATGTTCCATTACTTATGGGCCTCGATAGATAAGGGCTGGTGTACGCTCACTCCAGCCGTGCAGGACAGGAAGGTAATCTGAAATGCATCCATCAACACAGAGTGAGTGTGCTTAAAGCATAAATAAATGCCGGTGATGCAGATGCTGTGTGGACGCACATGCAGTTTTTTTCTTTGCTTGTTTTGGGTTTTATTTCTTTATCATTTCATCCACTGTGAAGTGGAATTTGATGTTTGGATTTGTGGCTGGCAAGTTTATCCAGACACATTAAGCTGCTCCCACCTGGCCGCTTCTTTTCCCTTCTTCTTCTTCTTCTTCTTTTTCATTCTTTCACTGCACAGACCACTTAGGTGGTTTATACGGACCACTTACAGCTTTTTCATGGATGGAGGCTGGAAGCGGCGCTGCATCATGCCTGTGTAAATGCACGTCACTATATCTTGAGCTTTTTGTAGGGCTCTGTTCCAGTCCTATTTTGTAATTACCCAGAGGAGGAAATGGGGAAGGTTAGGGTTAGGGGTAAAAGCCTCCATAAACTGGATTATGGATAAAAGCTGTAGTGTTATATTTACTCATTTACTGCCTCTTCTGTTTGTCTGCGGATCACAGGATTACGAGGCTAAGCCAGGCTGGTTATTTAAAGTGCCTTTAAACCACATCATCTAAAAGAAAGAGTTTCTTTTTCCCCCTCCTCCAAGTAGTTTAAATCATAATCTTACACACAAGAAACTTGAATACACCGCTGTTATCTCTGCCTTGTTTAAAAAAAAATTTAGTCTAGTTTCACATTTGTATGGATCATCTGGCTTTATTTGGAAATTTTCAACCTCATCACCAACACAGAACGGAGAGATCGGCAGGGATAAGTCCCGTTAGAGTAGATATGGGTAGACAGTGTCTTAACTGTGTTCTTAACAGATCTGCTCCTGTCAGATATGGTGTTTCATCACAGCCATGTGCCTTCCAGGACAGGCTTTATCAGTGCAGCTTCTTATCTGAAGCAAGGTGGCTGCTAATCTACTCCCAAATCTAGCAAAACCTGATTATGTCTCCCACTGTCAGAGAGATGTAGGGCGAGGGGTGGGGGGTGGGGGGAGTGTGGGTGGAGAGGTAAGAGGGTAAAGCTCTGAGAAAGGGAAGTTCTGACTTGACAATAACATATATCCACAAAGATTCTACTTTGTATACTTGGATCGTTTCCACAGGTTGTGAGTCTTAATGCACAAAGGGAAGAAAATTAGGTCGTGTTACAGCTGCCAGCTATGAATCAACATCACCAGAGAGATCATGACGCGGCCCAAGTTTCCGTGAATTCGGCTTTAAGACAGCGGCATTGTTTCTGAACGCACGGCACTCGAGTTACAACAAATTCCCCTCTCCTTCAGGAGAAGAAAGGTCTCGACCTTCACGTGTTTGTTTTCTCATGTGTCACTTCACACCCTTGTTGCCGAAGTGGCGCACAGCAGCCTCCACTTCACTCCACTTTGGGTCGAACGGTTGCCGGTGATGTTCAGACTGCTTGAACTTGTTGTGTGTCGCATTCTCAAAATGAAAGTGTGTTCCCCTTTTTTGTGTGAACATAGCTTTCTCTTCACTTTAGCCTTATATGCCACTGACACTTTTTTGTATTAAAGCCCTGTGGAAGTAAAAAAAAAAATAAATAAAAAGAAGAAAAAACGAAGGGAAAAAAACACTTATTTGTGTGACGCGTGTGGCCTCGGCGGAGTTCAACTGGCAACTTTGCTTTTAGTGGAGCTTTCAAGACTGTTGCCTCTGTTTTTATTTTTGTGCCAGGGGATGTTGACTGTTGCTGTGCTGTTGGACTTGGTGTCTGTGTTTACAACGCCTGGGGCATAAGTTACGCCTTTGCCAGCACCGCATCCTACGGAAACATTCTGACACAAGTCTCTCTGGAGATCAGACTAATAGCTCACTTCAAGGTGCAAAAAGAAAAATCACACTGAAATATGTTTGGAGAGCTGCTGCAAAATAAATCTTATATCACCCTGTAAAATCACTCATGGTTTCATATTAAAAGTACAATATTACATATGATTGCCGGTATTTAGCCTATTTAAAAAAAATAAAATAAATGAAGCCTCCAGCCTGAAACGTGAACCTGCCTTATATTTAAAAGCCAGCAGGGGGCGACTCAACTGGTTGTAAAAAGCAGAGTTCGACTGTACAGAAGTCTATGAGAAAATGATCCTACCTCTCACTTTATTTTTTACTTCAGTAAACATTGTCCTAATAAGTTTAT